GTGACGCTGGCCCCGCTCCGTAGCACGGTGTGTGCGGGGGGGAGAGGCTGCGCCCGGGCTCCCGGCGGGGCGTTGTAGGGGCTGTCTGAGGGTGTTCGCGCACGGCGCAGCAAAGCGTGTGCGAAGTTGCTCCCGATGCGGCACGCTTTGTCTCTAGAAACCCAGCCGTGAAAGCCCCAGTAACCGCCGTGCCGAGTCAACCCGAGCGACGTGAGGCAGAAATCCTCGTCTTCCCGCTGCCCTTGTGACACTGGTCGTCTTGCTGGTTTCAGGTCTGGACAGCAAGGTCCAAGAATGGTGAAGCTGGGGAGTAATTTGAACGACAAGAACAACAAACAACCATCGAGTGAAGATGGTTTTCAGACAGTTCCTCTGATCACCCCTTTGGAAGTAAATCACCTGCAGTTCCCGGCGCCGGAAAAGGTAAAACCAACATCAGATCACACTCATGCATGATTATGCACACATGCACCCCCCGCCCCTGCTTTTCACTGCCCGGCCGACTTGCTGCTCTCTGATAACGTGAACTGTGGCACGGCGGTTACCCAATGCATAAAAAGGGTTTACCTTTCTTAGTGTGTTTACTTGCTTTAACATAGCAAAGCAGCACACAACTGTCCTCTCAACCCTTTCCTCCCCCCTCAAAAAACCCAATACTCCTTCATAAGTATAGCAGGAAAAAGCTTAGTGTGCTTCTCTTATAAATGCTGGAGAAACTGAGGATAAGTTTGTAATGCATTATTATTGGTCAGATTAATTGCTGGCATTCAGAGTAATGTGATAACTCTACTGAAACAAGCAGCTATTTTAATTATCTCGATTGAGGTTTGTTTTCTTCTCCGTGGCTGTGCAAAGCTTATTTGGCTATTCCTGATGGTGACTTCTCAGAGAAGAGCGACCGCATTCTCCCATGCGATGGGAGGTGATGGAGCAATCCGTGGATTCATCCCCCATTGGCTTTGGGGAGGGGACAGCTTTCTCCCCTACCCAGTCAACACTCCCAGAACTGATTGCAGCACAAAACGTTCAGAAATGTGCATCAGTGATTGGCTGAGGTTTGGTGGCTGGAGCTTTTTAGATGCAATATGTACTATGAAATCTTTTGTCTATAGCTGTGCAGTGACGGTGCATATCAATATAACCTGGTGAGGACATGATGAGATCGTAAAATCTGTATGCCCCAGCAGTCCTTACAAAAACAAAGCCTATCTGCAGTGTAGTTCCCAGATACCACAGAGATGGAGCCAACTCACTTGAAAGTACAGACAGAATGATTACATCTCGCAGGATAATGGAATAATAATAAAATTTACACTGATGATTATTGAATGTATATCCTGTTTTTTACTGCAGGACAAAATGAAGTTTCTCTAAATACATTAGAAGAACATGATGATGGTTGTGATAAAACTCTCTAGATAGATAGACAAACTATGTTTATTTTACAACACAGCTCAGTCGACTGCCTTGCCCTTCTGGGAGCCAGAGCTATACCACAGGAGCTAGATCCATTTTCCATGTGTGCCATGGCAATCAGGAGCAACTTCGAAGCATTCAGGAGAGTTACACTTCTGTGAATTGTTGTAAGTGAGAGGATAAACTGGCCCTTATCTATAACTCTGATACATAAGATTAAGGAAAAATAACTCAGGCAAAGCAAGATGATTTATTAAAGAGCTCTGGGAGGCTCAAAGAAAATTATAGATGTGTAAAAGTAACTCATTTGATAATGGTACCAATAGCTTATTGAGATGGAGCTCATACACTCAGCATCACAGGATGTGAAATTTAAATGACTCATGTATCAGGTGAGACATGGAAAGCCTAACAAAAATCCTTTCAAACTAATAAAGTGATAGTGAGTGTTTTCATGACCGCCATGTTCCAATTGCCTGTTGGTGAACGCATGTTGGAGTGTGAGTCTGTGCTGATTTTTGTGTTTAAACATGCCTACATCAATAATGCCCATGTTGTTGAAGTACATTACCTTCATTAGCTTACATTACTGTCAGTGCATCTGCTGACATCAGTGTTTTTCTTTGCTGAAAGAGTGAGGTGTTTCTCCAGGAGCGATAAGCATGATTCAGAACTCATTCGAGTCGGTCATGTTGATGCCTATAGGCTTTGCTTCATCTCCTAAGCATAGTATGCCTAGAGTTGGTGGTGACGAAAAACCTGTTACAAAAAGAGAGGTCATTTATTATAAGACCAAAAGAATGCACATTTTTTTTCCTTTACTCTTTGTAGAACAAATTCTGTTGCGATGAAGTTCACCCTAGGTCAGTGGGCCTGCATAAAGAGTTGTTAACAATGAGTTGAGCCTCACGTAAAGAGCTTAGGTAAAGGTTAAGTGACGGGGGCAGTTTCGTCTTTGTGCTTAGTAGAGCAAAGCTAGTGACTTCAGTGAGACTGTGAGCCTGAGGAACAGCAGACATGGATTTCAAGTCTTCCAGGCTCTATTTTTGTTTGGATTTCCTCTGAAAGCAGGAGGCAGGATTAAAAAAAAAACTAAAAGCAATTTGAGTTTCTGTCTGTATAGAGGGTATTCCTAAAACCTGCCAGCTGTTGATTGTAGCTTCTGAGAGTGAGCACACACGCCAGCCTGCTTTCTGGTGTCTCTTGCATGGGATGCTGCACAAATCACTAGGTGTGCTCGTGGGGGCTCTGTGAAACGGCTCAGAAGGGCTTTGCTCTCCTGTTTTCTTCAGTGTAAATCCATTGCTGCTTGCTTGTAACCACAAGGAGGCAATGTCCCAGGCCTCCGTGCTCCTGTGACTGCAGATCAGCTGCTGTGCATCACATCTCGTTTCCACTGCAATAAAGAGCTGATGTGCCTTGTCCTTTAAATGAGGTCTAGGGAAAAAAATATCTATAAAAATGTAAATAAATATATGTGTGTATATATCTCTATATGTCTCTCTCTATATCTATATGTATCTTCCCTTGTGAAATACTCACTTTTCTGGGGTTATTCTGACCAATGGAAGGTATCTTCATTTGATATATGGGGTGGTCTTAACCTGGATCTAACCTTGGGTCTAGGAGCCATCCAAGGTGCATCAAAACTGCAGAAAGGAGGTCCGACTGCTGCTTGGGTCTGTGTACTTGCTGTAACTTCAGTCTATCTATCTGGTACGTTAGCAGTAAAGGAGCTCTGTGTTTGGCTAGCGATTCGAGTGTATGCTAGATCTGTGCTGCTGCAACCGAGCTGCTATTGTTACCCATGTGCAATAATTCCTCCGGTGTACGTATGCCACACAGCAAAGGTTTGCAGGCTATGTTAATTTATAGGAACTTTTGTTTTTTCCAGCTGAGCCTCAGACACCTGTGTGCAAGTCAAAGACAAATAAATCTGCTGTTTGTAGCATACTTACATTTGCAGGTCCTTTAAAGTAACCCACAAAGCCCATGGAATCTACAGCTTGAGAACTGCTTTTCGGTTTGTTTTTTTAGGGCTTTAAATACCTATTTTTTCTTCATTTTAAGGAGTATATCTATATCTGGATCACTCAGAGAATAGCTCTGAGTGATTATCAGCATCAATTTGTACAGATGTTTCACTACAGCTTGATCTCTTTCAAAGTGTTTTCTGTGTCTGGCCCTGCTTTCAAAGCACGGATACAAAGAAAGACTGTCAAAATGAGGTTTTTTGCTCATGTGATATGGTATGTAATTCATGAAGACCATCTTTGTTCAGATACCTCCTTGATTATAAGAAATAGAAATTATAAGAAATCACTGTGGAGGGAGGAACCCCCCAACACATATTTTTTTAAAGCTAAACATAAACTTACTGGACGTCCTTTTTGGGGATGCTTCCCTAACAGACTTGGTCTTTGAAGTGCTGAGAGCTTGACAGCTCCCTCTGACTTCCACCTTGATGCTGCTGAAAAAATCCAGGCACTTGTTTGCATGCTAAGGCAGGAATTCAGGAGGCTTGAATTTGGAATTCGGCAACTGCTTTTTTTTTTTTTTTAAATTCTTGGCCACTAGTCTAACTAGTTCTTTTCCCATCAAAATGGGGTATCTCCTACAAAGGTTCATGTTACTCCTGCAGCATCAACATTTTGGTCACTCTGTCAGCAGTTATATAGCTGCAAGGGAAGAAATGTACCCAGTATGGTAATTTCTCCCCTAGGGTCCTAAGCCTGCTGTGTATTTTGACTATCTTCAAGCATTTCCTTGGCTCCCCTCTTCTCCTCTTGTTGGGGGTGGGGGGGGGGGGCATTTACAGAAGGCAAAGATACTCTTAAATCATTTGTGTGTGGCCTTTTTGCTGAAATCTACCCATGTAAGAGGAATAATAGCTATCACCACTGACAAGCCCTTGACCTTGCTTTTTATATCTCTATATTCCATTTCTTCTGTATTCAGAAAATGGAAAAAGGGGTCTCTTTCTTTTAGGGGCAGAAGGAAAAAGGCTAGCTGTTCGCTTGTTTTCCTAGGCATAGACAAAGTGCTTTGGACATAATCGTTAGGTGTCTGTGCAGTGATAATGCTAAAAGACATGCAGCTCTTCACAGACCATACTTTTACACTGAAATTGTAAATGAGACCAAGAATGGGGACCCCTTGGTGTCATAGGCTGGCTTCAGCATAGTCCAGCAGGAAATGCCTCTGTTCTCACAGTAAAAATCCTAATTTTACAGAACACAAAAGTGCATGGAAGCCATTGTCAGGGCTGAAAAAAACATCCGGCGTGTCTTTTGTGGGGAAAGCTGCAGAAGGCTTATCATGTGGTCCATTGTTCTTTATTTTGAATGCATCTGGAGGCTTGAGAAATAATTTGTCTGGTGACAAATTCCTGCCTCCTAACGCGAGAAGGAAAGAAAAGATAGATGTAACTGCTCTCTTCAAACGCTTTTCCCACCCCATGCTCCGGACTCTTGTCCTGTCTGGCTGCAACCCACTCTGAGTGGCCTGGGCCAATCTTTTATACAGAGTAATCAAGAGTTCCTGAAAATCCGGGGTGGGGGGGGTCCCTTGTGTTCGGAGCCTGTCCCTATGGGTTTCACAGAAAATAATGTTTTGTCCTAGCCAGCTGAGCTGGTGTAATTAATAGTAGGCTGAATGAGTGCTTTTGTACCTCGGGGACCACTTGCAGCTCTCTCCTGAAATACTGATGTCAGTCTGCCCTCTGCAATGCATAGCAGCACGCAGCAGCGCTAGCGAGCCCAAACGTGCAGTCGGCGCAGTGTGGAGCTGGTTTCGGGGTGCTGCTACGGGTGGGGAGGCCGGGGCAGCTCAGCCGCGTCCGCCGCCCCCCGCAAGCGGTTCCTGATCTGGCGCAGGTGCTGGCGTCCCTGTTCCTGCTCACCCTGTTGCGAGCTTTGGGGTTCAGTGTGAAGGGGTAAACGGCAAAGAGATGGGGCAGGGAATAGTAATTGTGGCAGCTGAAGGAGGGAAGAGTAAAAGGGAAGAGG